GTGAGCGCGGCGCACAAAGGGCCGGCCGGGCGCGCGGGGCGGGCGCGGGGAGGGACCCCCGGGGCGGGGGCGCGCGCCCCCCGCTCTGCTTCCCCCGCGCCCGGGCTGCCGCCTGCACCCCAGCGGCGAGGGCGCCCCTCCCCTCCGCCGCCCGCCCGCCCCGCTCCCGGGGGTGCCGCCTGCACCCCGGCACGCCCGGAGCAGGTGTGAGGTTCCCGCTGGGGCGGCGGCGGGGGGTGGGGTGGGGGCGGCGCACCCCCACCCCCATCCGGCGACCAGGAGGGTCCCGGGCATCCCGGCGGCGGCGGCGGCTCGCAAGGGCAAGCCCCGCTGTCCGCTGTCCGCGCCCCCCCCAGGAGAGGGCACGGCGTAGGGGGTGGGGGCGGACAGGGCCCGCCCGCCCGCCCGGGGTCGCAACGTCCCCGCCCCGCCCCCACCCCCACCCCTGCCCGGCGGCGGCACCTTCACTTGGGCACCAGCCGTGCGATGGATTCCAGTGCCAGTCGGAACGCGTCCCTGCCCCGCCGGCCCGGCGGGGGTGAGGCATGGGGGGGCAGGCGCCTTGGGGGCGTTGGGGGGATCCCCCGGGTCTCGGGGACCCCAGCCTCCCGCTCCGAGGTGTGTGTGTATCTATGTGTGTGAGGGGGTCCATGCCCCTGTGTGGTCCTCCTCCTGGTGGAGGAGGCACAGGTCGATTGAAAATGCCTCTCTCTACCCCCTGGTCACCCAGCAGGCAGAGGAGTACAACTCACAGTCCAACTCTGCCCCAGGTCGGGGGCGGGGGGTGGGGGGCTAGAGGGGGACACCCTCCGGCTGACTCCTAGCATCTTCCCGGGGAGGACCCCTCCCACCACCCCTGCAAATCGCGACCCCTTTGCCTGCCACCCTGAGCCGGGCTCTGCTCCCCCACCACTGCCTCCGTCCTCCCTCCCTCCGGTGCCCGCTGCCAGGCTGGACCCTCAGCCTTCCTCTGCCGGCGGGCCGGGGCGCCCCAGGGGACCAGGCGTGCCCTGGCAGGAGCTTGCAGCCAGGCCGGAGAGCTCGGCGCGGGGCGCAGCCACTGCGTCTTTGAGCATCTCATCTCGCTTCCCATCTTTGTTATTGTCTAGGCGGCAGGCCACCTGGTTTGCTGCCTTCCTCCCTCTGCCTGGGCCCCCCCAACCCTCCCCCCAAACCTTCCACGGAACATGCCCTTCTCCGCGCTTTCCTTGGCGGGGGTCAGGACCCTCTGCACCCGCATGCGGGGGCTTGTGTACGTACCCGTTTTTGTGTGCATGTATCGGTTGTCCCGGGAGCCAGTGGGCAGCCGGACCCGGGGGCTTGTGTGTCCTCCCAGGAGCGCGGCGGCGTGCGCGGCATGTTTGGCATGGACCCTCCCCCCCCCAGAGCGCGCCCCCCTCCCCCAGAAGGTCGGGCATGGGCACGGCAGAATGCCCAACGGACCCCCATGCGGGTCCTGCCCAGCTTGGCAGCCAATCAGACTTGCTGAAGGAGGGGGCCCGGGTTGGGGGCCCCCGGGAAGGCACCACAGGCAGATCTGTCTCGAGAGCCCACCGACAGTGGGGGCAGAACGTCCGTCACCGGTGGGCGGAATGGTTATTCATCCCGTGTCAACAAAACCGGGCTGGTGGCTGCTCCGGAAGGGTGCCCTGGTTCCCCTCCCTGACGGGAAGAGGCCGAGTTCGGAATCCCTCTGCCTGGCCTTGGAGTCCAGATAGGCTCTGCCCAGACTGGGGTGCCGGTGGGGCGGGGGGGGGGGGGTCTCCTTCTTTGGCGCTCGGCTGGGACCTAAGATTTCTCGGCTCCAGTCAGGATGGATGCATGGGCAGGGCTTTCTCGCGGGCAGTCTCTGGAGGCACCCTGTTGGGAGTTGAGTGAGTAAAACCCATAGTGGGGTCCACCTTCCCCACACCCCCTGCCCCCGCCCCCCAGCTCAGGCTCGGAGCTGGCTGTGCGGCCAAGGTGTGGCCGCGCTGTTGTGTGTGTGTGTGTGTGTGTGTGTGTGTCTGCCTGTCCGGGGAGATTCCAGGGCACGCAGCCTGCTGTGGGTGGGTTTAGCCAGGAGGGGGTGGTTGGGCTTCCGGGCTCCTTGGGACCCCCTCCCCGCCCCCCTCCCCCCTCCACAGGTCTGCCTTGCCCTTGGCTGTGGAGAGGGTCAGCGCAGACAGGAGTCTCACTGAGGGGTGGGGTGGGGGCTCTGAGTGACTTTGGGCTCAGCCTCCGCCGAGGGCTGCCGGGCGGGCGGGCAGCTTTGCCGCGAGCCCCCCACTGCTTGCCGTGCCCAGGCCAGCGGGGCGGCAGCGTTTGGTGCTGGAACCCTCCTATTCAGATGCTGCGAACCAGCCGGTTCTGTGCTGGGACCTTTCCGTTCCCGGGAAGGGGGTCAGTGAGCCTTTCCAGCGTGGGGACGCCGTCCAGCCAGGCATGGGGGGGCAGCGGGGCAGCTCGCATCCTGCCACTGCCACCAGTGTCTCTCTGAGCTGCCCGATGGGGAGGTTCCTGCCGGTCTGCGCACCCCGGACCCCCAGACTCTGATCGCTCTAGGGGGCGGTGGTGTGGGAAATAAGCACCAAGGACAGGTCACCATCATCGTCGTCGTGCCCCGGGCTGATGTGGTGACCCATCTGGCTCCCGGACCCGCTGCAGGTGGTGCCGCTCGTCTCGCCGAGGAGGCGCTTTTGCTGCTCGCTAGGACGCGGCGGTGCTGCCTTCCCAGAAGATAATTTCCGAGTCACTCGTTTATTTATTAATGCTCCTGACAGCGAGAGGGTCAGAGGCAGCGCCTGCTCTCCCCATCCCGCTTCCTCTCCGACACGGCTTCTCGCGACTCAGGCTGCCTCCACACGCAGGGGGCACTGTGCGCTGGAGACTGAGCGCGGTGGGTGGTGGGTGCGTGCCTGTGTCCCTTCCCTGCCCTGGAGGGGGGTGCTGCCAGGCCGCCTAAGACTAGGGAGGGAAGGAGGGAGGGGGTGGAGGAGGGGCTTTCAGGCCCCTGTCCTGGCCTGAGGGCAGGAATCAGCCCTGTGACTTGGGGTGGGGCCACCCCTGGTGAGGGGAGAGGGGCCAGGAGATGAGATATCCCTGCCTACTTCCACCCTGACCACGCCGACGGGCGGGCGCTCCTGGCCCCTCTCCTAGACAGGGCTGCCCTGGCCTCCTCTGCTCCCCCCTAGGTGATGCTCATGAGGTTGAGTTTTAGTATTTTTTGCTCGAGCTCGAGCGGGCCCAGTAACGTCTCCATTGGAGACTTTGTTGTTACTGTGTCTGGCATATCGAATACTCTCGGTAGCTTGCCGGGCTTTCCGAGAGGGGCGGAGGAATCGAACTCGGGTCGGCCATGTTGGCTGCGTGCAAGGCAAACGCCCTACCACTGTGCTATCGCTCCAGCCCCTAACAAAGTTAGTATTTTTAACTTTATTTATTTTTGCTTTTTTGGGGGGATCACACTTGGCGGTGCTCAGGGGTTACTCCTGGCTCTGCACTCAGGAGTTACTCCCTGGCGGTGCTCAGGGGACCCTATGGGATGCCGGAGATTGAAACCGGGTCAGCCGCGACCAGGCAGACGCCGTCCCCACTGCCGTCCTGTCGCTCTGGCCCCGATGCTCGTGTGGTTTAGACAGTCTCTTGGAGTAAAGGGAAGGAGACAGTCTTCGGGTAGGAAGAAGCGCAGTGTTCCTGGGTAAGTTACTTAGCCTGATCCGCAGCCTCGGTCTGCACATCTGCACAATGGGCCCGATGGCACCACTTGCCCTTGGAAGCATCGAATGGTGAATTACGTTCAGTGTGAATGTAATACAAGCGTCGACCTGTTTCCTGAGTAGTGGACACGAGGTCTTGTTAAAACGCTGTTCCATGAATAACAGCCTGAGAAAGAGAGGAGAGCAGAGCAGGAGGCTGAGGGTTTTGCTCTAGGGGCGTGAGTTAGCGTGGGCAGGAAAGAGTCTTTCTGTGGGGCCTCGGTTTCCTCATCTGTTATGTGGGCAGAACAGTGAGCAGTCCTGGGTCTCTCCGCTGGAGAACTCGGTGGACAGAGGGTCATTACCTGGAGCGTACGCAGAGCCTACCAGGTGGCCCTGCCCCTGGGTGTTTCAAATCTGTCGTAAAAGTTCACACTCCATCCTAGATGTGGGCCATACTTTTTTTTTTCCCCCAATCACTTGGGCATTTAGGTTGCATCTCTAGTTTCTCCTTTATTAAAAATGTTGTTGGATCCAGAGAGATAGTCTAGAGGGGAAGGCGACTGCCTTGCCTCTCCCAGGAATGATCACAGCAGTAAGCCCCGAGAGCTGGGTGTGGCCCCCCAAAGGCGCTGGGGTTTGACATCTCGCAAAAAGTCTTAGGAATGGAACTCTAGGCCAGAGATTGTGAATGGTTGGGTATTATTATTATTATATATTTTTTCTCCCATCCAACCAGGCCCGACCCTGCATAGCTTAGAGATCAGGAGCATTTAGCGTGGTTTGGCCATAGGCGGAGCTCGCCCGCACGGCAAAGCCTGGCAAGCTCCCCGTGACGTATTCGATATGCCAGACACAGTAACAACAAAGTCTCCAATGGAGACGTTACTGGGCCCGCTCGAGCAAATCGACGAACAACGGGAGGGCCTTTACCTTTACCTTTACCTATATTTTTTCACTTTTTGGGTCACACCTGGAGATGCACAGGGGTTCCTCCTGGTTCTGCACTCAGGAATCACTCCTGGCGGTGCTCAGGGGACCGTATAGGATGCTGGGAATCAAACCCAGTCAGCCGTGTGCAAGGCAAACTCCCTGCCCACTGTGCTATCGCTCCAGTCCCTAGTTGGGTATTTTTGATGGATAAAAATGCCCAGCACAGGAAGTTAGAAATAACTCCCCTCAACACACACACACACACACACACACCCTCCCCCCATTCCTAGCCACTGAATCTTCGAGAGCCCTCACCTGTTTTCTCACTCCCATGAAACCCACCCCCCACCCCTGAGATACTGCTACACCCGCCTCTTCTTAGCGTGGGAC